GGACTGCTTGAGCTCAGGAGTTTAAGACCAGCCTGAGCAAGACTGAGACCCTGTCACTGCTAAAACTAGCTGGGTGTGGGCAGTGCCTGTGGCTCACTGGGTAGGGCGCCAGCTCCATATACCGAGGGTGGCGGGTTCAAGTGTGGCCCCCACCAAACTGCAACAAAAAAGTAGCTGGGCATTGTAGCGGGCACCCGTAGTCCCAGCTACTCAGGAGGCTGAGGCAAGAGAATCACCTAAGCCCAAGAACTGAAGGTAGCTATGAGCTTTGATGCCACGGCACTCTACTGAGGGCAATAAAGTGAGACTCTGTCTCTACAAAAAAAAAAAAAACAACACTAGCTGGGCATGGTGGTGGGCAACTGTAGTCCCAGCTACTCAGAAGGCTGAGGCAAAAGAATTGCTTAAGCCCAGGAGTTTGAGGTTGCTGTGAGCTATGACACTATAGTACTCTACCCAGGATCACAGAGTGAGACTGTCTGTCACACACACACACAAAAAGAACTCTGGGCTCAGGCAGTTTGAGACTTAATTCAGACTCTCCACTCCAGAGCAAGAGACTTGACTGCTTTGAGCCTGTCAAGTCTAAGACAGTCTCCTCTTTCTAACCACTGCCAGAGCTGGTGTGAGGCACACAGGCCAGTTCAGAGAAAGTACTCAGGGAATTAGCTACCATTATTACTGTCCTTATGGTTAATTAGGGTGGATAGACAAGCTAGCAAGAAGGAAAAGTCTCTTTGAGTTTTGCTGTCCAATAAAACATTACAGTGATGGAAATATATTTGTATTGTCCAGTATGGAAGCCACTAGTCACAAGGGGGTTTTGGGAACTCAAATGAGGTGAGGGCAACCAGGAAAGTGAGTCTTCCATTTTATGCACTTTACTTAAATTTAAATTGAAATATCCACATGTGGCTAATGGCTACATACTGGACAGCACAGCCTTAGAGTGCTGAAGAGCAGTTGATGCCAGCCACCTTCTATTCCAGAATGACTGAGCATCCTGAGGGGATAGACTCCCCTGTCTGGGCCTGTCCCATGCTGAATGCTGAGGGTAAGGGGTAGGGGTGCTCTTCCAGCCCCTACTTGGAAAAAGGAGAAACACAAACAGAACCACAGGGATATTCCCAGACAGTCTCCTGGTTGTTGTGCAAAGGGCTTTAGGTAAGGGGAGGTGGTGGGGCTGTTAGGTTTGGGGGGAGGGATGGGTAGAGGGTCTCTTTCTCATCTCTGACTAGGTTCCTGGGCCCCCAGATCTGATTACCTTCATTGAAGGAGGCGGACACTCACCACGCTATACCCTCTGGTTCTGCATTGGGGAGCGGTGGCCCCAGGACCAGCCATGGACCAAGCGGCTTGTTATGGTCAAGGTACCTGTGGTCCTGGGCCCCTGGGCCCCTGGGGCTGATGAGGTAGCTCAAAGAAAAGAGGTAGCTTCCTAAAACTACAACTCCCCCAAGCCCCTATAGTGTCTCTGCAATTAGCACTTCCTTACCCCCAGGAGCTTCTGGATGACCTTCCCATGGCCCTACCCCCAAACCTGGTTTGAACTATGAGAGTATGTGGAAGTTGGTGGGACTACAGGTCCTCACAGCCTCTGTGAGGAAATGCAGCTCCCAGGAGTCCAGATTACAAGCTGCTTAACCCTGACTTCTAGGAACCCTTCCGGCTTCCTCAGTCCTAGGAACAGCTCTCTGGCCTCCCTTGTTTGTGAATATAGGGGAAACTTCAACTCCCAGCAGACGTTGGCCTATGGTTCATCCTAGGTGACAGGAAGGGTTGCTGGGAGTTATAGTCTCAGCCCCTGCCTCCTCCCATGGACAAACAGTGGTTGGGTGTTTTTCCTGACATGTTTTCTCCTGCAGGTTGTCCCCACGTGCCTCAGAGCCCTGCTAGACATGGCCCGGTCAGGGGGGGCATCCTCACTTGAGAACACCGTGGACCTGCACATTTCCAACAGTCAGCCACTCTCCCTCACCCCCGACCAATACAAGGCCTGCCTACAGGACCTGGTTGAGGACATGGATTTCCAGGTCTTTGGGGATGCCTAAGCACTTGGTCTGGTCCTCATAGGTGCAGGCCCCTAACACCACCTCGACCAATAAACTGGTTCCTGGTCACCACTTGTGTGAGTCTGCTGTTGGGTGTCCCCAGGTCAGCATTGACCGACACTAGCTATTAGTCCTGCCTGGGGGTTATCAGTGTACAAATCTGTACAGCTACCAACAACTCAGGTGGCCAGTGCAAGGGCACCCAGCAGTGCAAGGAACAGCTGAGTCTAATTACCTCCTTAGTCTTCCCAGGAACCTGACAGGAAGGTGGCAGTTCACCCCTATTTTAAGACCAACAGACGCTGAGGTACAAAGGTCACAGAGTGGAGAACCTAGAGACCTGTTAGAAGTCCAATGTGGCTGGGCATGGTGGCTCACGCCTGTAATCCCAGCACTGTGGGAGGCTGAGGAGGGAGAATCACTGGAGCTCAGGAGTTTGAGACTCGCCTGAGCGAAACTGAAACCCCAACTCATGAAAAAAATGGAAAAACTCAGCCAGGCGCCATGGCAAGCACTTGTAATCCCAGCAGCTTCTGGAGGCTGAGGCAGCGGGATGCCCACAAGCCAGGAGTCTGAGGTTGCAGTGAACTACCAAGCCACTGCACTCTGCTCAGGGGCACAAGGTGGGACTCTGTCTCGACCAAAAAAAAAAAAAAAAAAAAAAAGGAAAGAAAAAATAAGCAACAAAATAAAATTTAAATAAATAAATAAAATTAGAAAAAAAAAAAAGAAGTCCAATGTGATTGGGCGATGCTTGTGGCTCAATGAGTAGGGCACTGGCCCTATATACCGAGGGTGGCAGGTTTGAACCTGACCCTGGCCAAATTGCAACTGCAACAAAAAAATAGCTAGGTGTTCTGGTGGGCGCCTGTAGTCCCAGCTACTTGGGAAGCTGAGGCAAGAGAATAACCTAAGCCCAGGAGTTGGAAGTTAATATGAGCTGTGACACCACGGCACTCTACTGAAGGCAATAAAGTGAGCCTCTGTCTCTTAAAAAAAAAAAAGTCTGATGTGATTCCCAGTTTGCCAACCCTTTGTGGGGGGGGCCTGAGCCCCTGTCTTATCTGTGAACAGATTGAGAATGTCTCTTCTCCCAGGCCTTTGGCTCTCTCTGTGTGAAGGCAGGATGGGGCATCTGTAAAGGGGCTCTGCAGCAACTCCTAAAGCCCAGGAAACTTGCCTGCCCCAGTAACCCTGAATACTTCCGCCTCTCACTGGGCCTCAGTTCTGGGTGATGAGACTGACAGCACCTAGGTGCCCTGAGCTTGAAAGACACTGAGCAGGTACAACCTGGGACCTTCTTGTCACCACTATTGGTCAGCAACACCAGATCCCATTCTCAGTGTCTCATCTGCCAGTATCTGGGTTAATCCTCACCATAACACCCACTTTTCAGATCAGAAAACCCAAGGCCAAGAGAGGTCAGTAAAGTCACCTGAAAACTCAGTCTGGTCCCCTGCTTCCCACTGTTAGACTTGGCTAGACCTGGTTGTCCTTCCCTTTTTCCCAAACATGTCTCTGAAAAGAAAGGGCTAAAATTATGGGGTAACATTTCATGAAATCTTTAATGAAACTGGGCAGAGGAGCACAAACAAGGGAGGGGCATGGGGCTAGGCTTGGGGGCAAGAGAGATGGCATGGGACTGGGTGGGGCAAGGGGCTCTCCTCTTCCCTGCAGCAACCCTCCCCCAATCATCCCACTGATGGGGGAGGGAAGTAGGGAGGTGGAGCCATAAATATGTCCAGAATTTCAAAGAGGCAAGGGTGGAAGGGGTGACCAGAGCTCTCAGAGAGGGGGCAGGGGTAAGCCTGGGCCACCCTTATCAGGGGGCCCTGGTTCCTTGGGTGGCCGTGGGGGCCCTGGAGGGTCCCCTGGCTTGCGGCCGTGCTTGCGAAAGTAGCGGTAGCGCTGGACGTAGGCCCGCACCAGGTTGCTCACCTTCACTGGGTTGATCTCCCCGCTTTTGCTGTGGCAGATCTAGGGGCCAGGGGCAGCTGGAGTTACTGTCAGCCTTCTGGGGCTCCCTTCAGCCTGGATTGCTGACAGCTGAGGACTGGCATGGGCCACTCCCCCAATGCACAGGCCAATGTCCCCATTTGCGCCCCCCCCCCTTGATGACAGGCCAGTGGAAGAAGTCTAGATGGCCCCTAAAGAAATCTTATCACCTTCCTTGCCTCCCAGACGGACTCTGCATCCCCATCTCCACATCTGCGTACATCTGTGTGTATATGTCCATTTCACCCTCTCTCTATTCTGTCTGCCCTCATCTCTGTCCCCCTCTGTGCCCACCTTGTGGACGGCCTTCCTCAGGATGTCCTTGTACTCCTCCTTGGTGATGTCCTTTTTCTGGTAGTACGGCTTGATGGCCAGCTTCACCTCCTCCACCGCCCGCTCCTGTGTGTGCAGCTTCTTCAGATACTGGTGGGGTGGTGACAGGGTGGGAAGAAGAGACAGGAGGGGCCAGATGAGCAGACATGGAACCTCTGGGCTCCACTCTTCTCTGCCTATCAACTTAGCCTCTTTGACCATCCAGTTACTCCAAGAGGTAAAGTCCTACTTAGGTTCTGCCCTATACTTCCCTTCCTGCAGTCACCTGGGACCACAGGCCATGCTTGGTCCTCTGAACATGTGTCCCCTGCCCTCATCAAGTTCAAGTTGGTCTGGTGAGGAGACAGAAATTAGCCAGGCAATTATGACTTTTTAACCAGCTCTACAGGGCTTATTCTGATTGCAGCAGGAAAATCTCACAAGGTTTTGTAGTGGGGGAGTGAAAAGACTGCTCTGGCTACTCAGTGGAAGCCAGGAGTGGGAGCTGAGATCTAGGGCACGTTTGCATTGGAATGCCAGTCTTCCATTCCATGCTGTTGACTCTTTGGATCAGCAACCCAACCTCAAGGCGGGAACTAAAACAATGCACATGGAGGACACAGCACGGGCTGGGCACAAAGCAAGGACAGTCAAGAGGAGGTGGCCAGGCACAAAGGCTCATGCCTGTAATCCCAGCATACAGGAGGACTGCTTGAGGCCACGAGTTTGAGACCAGCCTGAGCAAGAGTAAGACTCAGTCTCTACTAAAAATACAAAAACTAGCCAGGCATTGTGGTGGGTGCCTGTAGGCCTAGCTACTAGAGAGGCTGAGGCAAGACGATCCATTGAGCCCAAGAATTTGAAGTTGCTGTGAGCTACAACACGACGACACTCTACTCAGGGCAACAAGAGTCAAAAAAAACAAGATAAGCTGTTGCCTACACCCCAGGGCCAAGGGAAGAGGGAAGCAGGTAAACTGAGAACTGAGAAGGGAAGAGGATCAAGGCCACCATGATGAGAATACACAGTGTCTGATGAGCTACTGTCAGTGCAGCTCTTCTGCCAGGAGAGCCACTGGCCACCCTGGAGGGATTCCTTAGGCTTGTATGGCCTGACAGGAAGTAGATTTCTAAAGAGAGACAGCAAAGAATGGGTTGCTCCCCAGTACCCATCTCAGATGTGGCAGCAGAGGACAAAGGACACAGAACAGACCAGGGTAGACTGACCAGCAGAGCAGGGGGCCTGCTGCTGGTCAAGGGGTCTTTCATGTTGCCCTCTTGCAGCACATGGTATGTGCCATGGACAAGTGACCAGCTCAGCTGTAAACCCAACTTCATGGCTCATTTCCTTGGGTTTATCCAGTTCTCCCTCTGGCATCACACCCAACATCTGTGCGAGTGGGCAACACCATCATCTGACTACAGACTGTTGGACAGTAACAAAAGGCATCTAAACCTGACCAAGAGGAAAACAGGTCCCAGAGGCCCAGGAGCAGAAGCTGACTGAGTAGTTTAATGAACAACTGTATTCATTTCTTTGTCTAAGAACAGGTTCTCAGGCGGTGCCTGTGGCTCAAAGGACTAGGGCACTGGCCCCATATGTCGGAGGTGGTGGGTTCAAACCCAGCCCCAGCCAAAAACTGCAAAAACAAAAAAGAACAGGTTCTCAGCTTTTCTTTTGAAAACCACCTCAGCTCAGGCAGCGCCTGTGGCTCAAAGGAGTAGGGTGCCAGCCCCATATACCGGAGGTGGTGGGTTCAAAGCCGGCCCTGGCCAAAAAAAAAAAAAAACACCTCAGCTTTCACAGAGGAAGAAATGCAGGGGTAGACTATGGTGGGGTGTGTATGTGGGGGTCCATATGCACACACACATGATTTTCCTTTTTTTTTTTGAGACAAAGTTTCAGTCAATTACCTTGGACTTGAGCGCTATAGTGTCACAGCAACCTCAAAATCTGGAGCTAAAGTGATCCTCCCACCTCAGCCTCCCAAAATGCTGGAATTACAGGCATGAGACACCATGCCCGGCCTGATTTTCCTTAAACCTGCCCAACCCCCATTTCCCATTCATCAACTCTAGTGGAAGTCATTCCTTACAATTTAATCACTTCAGTCTCTTAAGTCCCAACTGCTTGCCTCAGTCTCTGCCATTACCCTCAGGCCCCTGCATCTTGGTTACTGTCCATGTTTTCTATTAAACTGTTACCATCAACCAATGTTTTCCAAGGCCATCTTACCTTGTCTGTGTCCCCACGTCCCTCCGAGCTGCTGCTGCCCTCTCTCTTGTCAGATGTGGCAGCCAGCCCAGTGGGGGTGGGAGGAGTAGAGCCACAGCCCCCCAGAGGGAGGCTGCCAGGAAGCAGATAGCTGGAGGGGCCAGGGGGCAGACCCAGAGAGGTGGGTACAGGAGCAGGGGTCACCCCCAAACTTGAGGGTGGCTTCCTGTGGCTGAGGATCTGAGGAAAGAAGGTAAAGAGGGGATGAGCAAAGGGAGGAAGAGGGTAAGAGGAAATAGGCACCTCCTCTTCCCAGCCTGACTTCCCAACAGTCCTGGGCAGCAGGCTGCTCCTCTGGCTGGAACCTTGCCCCCCTTCTCAGAGAACAGCTCCTGTCCTAACTGAAACGGACCAAAGAAGAGGCTACAAGGACTCTTTCTGGGAGAACCCCACCTGGTTGGTGGCCTGGATTAACTCCTGGGCTTTTGCCCGGCTTGCCAGGTTGGCTTCTTCCATTTTGAAGAGAAGTGCAGTCACTGCAGGAAGTGGAGAAGTGACAACATTGAGATTAGGAGGAGGTGACAGGAGAGGAGACGATAAACCTCACCTAGTTACAGGCTACTGTCTCCACTCTGAGTCCCAGGACAGGCCCCAGGCCTCACACTCAGAACTGGGAAAAGAGGGCCTCAGCCAATGAAAGAAACATCCCACACCTCAAATGTTCTTAGAACTCAAGGTATGTGTATTCTGGGGTGATGTTGGCCAGGGACACTCGGTGATGAGATGGTGGCAGGAATGAGATTCTATCTGCTAACTCCCTCGTAGCCAGCCTCAGCCTCTCTCCAACCCTGTGATGTCTGGTAGAGGTTACTAGCATCCCCTAAGTAACCTGCTCAGGTTTACTCCTTCTGGTGACCCAATGGTAATCCAGTCCAAGAAAGACTTCAGAACCCAGCCTACCCCTCCAGTCTGTGCTAGTGGCCACCTGCTCCTGTTAGTCTCAATCTCTCCCAGTATACCCAGACACTTAGAAGCCTTTGGGACAGACCCTGACTAGCCCTCCCCGTCTGTAATGCTATGTACCTACCCCTTCTCAGACATCCCTACTGCCTGCACGTCTGTACCCATCAATGCCCATCCTGCCCTGTCTACCCCAGCACCCTTCTCCCCTGGGGGACACTTACAGGCCAGGACGCCACTGGTGGTGCAGTCCACACCAGCTGGCAGGTTCCAGGGCATGGGTGGGGGCAGTGTGGGCAGCTGGGAGACCCGGGGAGCTGGCCCATCCTCTGTCCCCGAGTCGCCAGCTGTGGACCCTGCACTGGGGGCAGTGCTTGGGGCAGCTGCAGCTGTGCTGGTGGCTGTGGTGGTGGCAGGCTGCTGTTCCTCCTCCTCTTCCTCTTCCTCCTCTTCTTCCTCCTCCTCCTCCTCCTCCTCTGCTCCACCTCGGACCCCAGCCTCCTCAGTGGCCTCCTCAGGCAGGAAGGAGACTTCAGGGGTCTTACAGCTGCTGTCCACAGTCTGAGAGTCCGGAGTGAGTGCAGGAGGTGGAGGAGCTGCCTTAGGGGGTGGGGTGCTAGGGACCTTGGCTGCCCGCTCCTCCCCAGACCAGGAGGTCTCCTCAGCCCCCTTGGCTCCTGCTGCCTGGCTGCAGCTATCTGCCTTGGACTTCTTCAGTGACACAGGGCCACCACTAACCCCACTGCTGCCTCCACTGCGGATCTTTTTCCTGGTCTTAGACGGCTTGGTCTTTCCCTTGGTCCCCTTGGTTTTCTTGGCCCCCGTCTTGGCCTTCACCTTGGTCTTTTTGGGCTTGGTGCTGCCCGGAGCTGCTTTGGCCACCTCAGCAGGGGCCCGTTCATCAGGTTTTAGGAAAGGGGAACGGCTCTCACGGTCACGGCTGAATTTGACACCGATGGAGCCCAGGCCAGCAGATGCAGTATCCTTGGCTGGGGTGGTGCTGCTGACACCCTCACGGATCAGCACTGCCACCTTGGACTGCAGCTTCACCTTCCGCGAGGAACATGAGGATGATGAGGATGAGGAGCCTGAGCCGCTGCTGACTGGTGGCTTTGGCGGGGGCCCTGAGGAAGGTGCCAACTCCTTGGGGGGACGGGCCTTCTTGGATGACCTGTCCCTGTCCCTATCTCTGTCCCTGTCCCGATCCCTGTCCCCCCCATCCAGCGCCTTTCGACGAGACCCCTTCTCCCTGGAAGAGGAAGAAGAGGAAGCAGCCCCAGAACGGCGACGGTCCTTCTCACTACTCTTACCACCCCTTTCCTCACCACTTAGTCCCTCCGAGTCATATAGGACCTCTCGCTTGGGTGATGAGGTTGGGGCCGGAGAAGGTCCACGGGGGTCAGTCTTGTCAAGCCGGCCCACTGTGATGGTCCTCTTGATAGCAAAAAGATCGTGGTCCGTAAGGTCTTGGATGGAGGGCGGCACAGCCCCCCGGCGGCGGCCATCACGCTCGCTGCCCAGGGAGGTGGAGCCAGATGGCTGCTGGGCCGGCAAGGGGGCCTTCTCGCCACCGTCCCCAGACCGCTTTTCGCCCCGGGACCGTGACCTCTTTTTCTTCTTCTTGCTGCTGCCACCATCCCGGTGTTTGCCCCGGTGCCGCTCGCGCCTTGAGGATGATGACGAGGAAGTGGCAGGAGGAGGAGAAGCTGAGCGCCGTCGCCGACGCCGCTTCTCCCGGGACCGTGAGCGGCGGCTGCTCCCGCGGCGGCGGTCTGTGCTCCGCGAGCGGTGGCGGGCAGAGCGGGACCGGGACCGGGACCGGCGGCGTGTGGACGACGAGGCATGGGAGCCCGGCTTGCGGTCCCGCGAGCGGTGCTTCTTGGAGTCCCAAGGTGAGGTTGGGGCTGGAGGGGTGGGCTGGGTGCCCGAGGACGATGAGGCGGCCTCCTTGGCCTCACCGCCACCGCTCCGTTTGCGCTCACGCCTGGACTTCTTGCGGGTAGGCGGCCCCGCAGAGGCTGCAGCAGCCACCGGGGTGGGGGCGGGGGCCGGGGAAGGTGAGCGCTGACGGTAACGCTCCCGCCGCTGGGTCAGGATCTTGCGGCGCAGGTCCAGGCCGCCCCAGCGTGTGTCTGCAGAGGGTGGTGCGGGGGCTGGCTCCCCGAGGTCCACCTGTAGGGCCCCTTCGCCATCCGACTCCGCGTGCAGAGAGAGGAAGTCATCCCCCTCAGGGGCCCGGGGAGCAGGAGGCTGGGGCAAGGGCTGGGCCGCTGGAGTGGCTGAGGATGTGGGAGGAGGTCGGGCAGCCCGGCTGGCCCGGAAGAGGGAGAGCCCCACCCTGGGCTCCTCCTCAGGTTGGACGATCTCTCCCTCCTCAATTTCCGAGTCGGCAGGCGGCAGAAGGGGCAGTGGGAGAGTGGTTCCACCAGCTGTCACTACCTCCACCGAGACCTTGCCTTCCCGACAGGCCTCTGCCTCAGGCCCCACCACAAAGACACGGCGGCGGGTGGCTCCATCAGCCCGTGTGGAGTCCGCCTGGGGTGGTGTTGCAGGGGCTGGAGCTGGCTGTGGGGGCTGGGGGTCCGGGCGGGGGCTTTCATCACCTGGGAAGTCCTGGCTCAGGCTGTTGTCATCATAGATGCCAGCCAGGGTCTCTGAGATACGGCTGATGCTTTGAGAGAGGCCTTCCTCTTCCTCCTCATCTTCCTCTTCTTCCTCTTCTTCCTCCTCTTCCTCTTCCTCCGGTGAGGGAGTCCCCGCTGATGAGCTGGGGTTGGAGCCAGTGGGCTCAAAGGGGTCGTACTTTTGCTCCGGAGCAGGTGGTGGGGAATAGGCCTCATCAGTGGGATGGAAGGGGTCATAGATGTCAAATCTGGGTGCAGGAGGGGCAGGGGGCGCAGGGGGTGGTGGAGGTGGAGGAGGGGAAGGGGAAGATGAAGAAGGAGAAGGGGAAGGTGAAGAGGATGCTGAGGAGGGGGCAGGGTGTGGGGCAGGGCCCCCATCTCCTGTGCCCAAGGTGAGGTGGCGGGCACAGGTGGGTCGAGAAGAGTGAGATTGTGGAGAAACTGCAAAGCAACAGAGACACCAGGTCAAGGCATACTCCTCCCTCCCTGGCAATCAGCTTGCCAGCTCTCCCAGCTTCTGCATAGATTCCTCTGAGTGCCTTACATATGGCAATCTGACAGGTGCGCCCAACAACTACACACCACTGAGAAGTCTGCCCCTCAGGTCATTGATGGAACCTAGGACAGAGAGCTAGAGTATCCTCCCCAAGAGCACACAGACAATGGGGAGCAGTTGGGGTACAAACGTAGCCAACATGGCCCCTGAACCTGGACTCCCATATCCTGAGACACAAACTGACCCCACCCTGGGCAACCCACTCTAACCCTGAAGCCTAGGCACCACCTTGATGGTGACAGCGATGTTACCACAGAAAAAACAGATATGGGCAGGAGAAATGGTGCCTAAGTTCACCTCCAATGCCAAAGCCAGCTCTGGCCTACTGTACCAGCTGCCTCTTGTGGGAGTTTATCCCACTTTTGTTTTTTTGGTTTTTTTTTGAGACAGAGCCTCAAGCTGTCCCCCTGGGTAGAGTGCCATGGCTTCACTGCTCACAGCAACCTCCAACTCCTGGGCTCAAGCGAGTCTCCTGCCTCAGCCTCCCAAGTAGCTGGGACCACAGGTGCCCGCCACAGCGCCCAGCTATTTTTTGGTTGCAGCCATTATTGCTTGTTTGGCGGGTCCGGGCTGGATTCGAACTTGCCACCTTAGGTGTATGTGGTTGGCACCTTAGAGTTTATCCCACTTTTAAAGGGAAGAATGTTAGGCTGAGGTAAAAAATCCAGTCCAGAGAGTGGCAGAGGTCACCCCAAGCTCTTCCGTCTGTGATGAGCTCTCACCCAAGGGGCTACACGTACTAGGATTTCAGAGACACCAGTGACGAACAGAAGCGATGACAAGGGTTTGCTCCTCCCTACAGGCCAGGCATGGTGCTTCATAGTTACCTGCTTTCCCAGGACCTCACTGTACTTTGCCAAGCATGGATTAATCAGTCACACAAGGGGAACCAGCTGACCAAGGCTGCACCAAGGGTCAGGGGCTGGGCCAGGGCTCAGACACAGATCCTCTGCAAGGATACTGGCACAGTTGAGTGAGGACAGCACCAGGGAAGCAAAGGGCTCATGAAGGCAGCTCCACGGCCACCCCCTGATTCAGCTGACAGGTTCCAGACCTCACTGTAATGTGACCTTCTGCCTCAACTGCCTCCTCATTTATAAAATAGGAATTCGGGTGGTGCCTGTGGCTCAGTGAGTAGGGTGCCGGCCCCATATACTGGTGTGTTCGAAACTGGCCCTGGCCAAACTGCAACAAAAATAGCCAGGCATTGTAGCAGGTGCCTATAGTCCCAGCTACTTGGGAGGCTGAGGCAAGAGAATCGCCTAAGCCCAAGAGATGGAGGTTGCTATGAGCTGTGACGCCACAGCACTCTACCAAGGGCAACAAAGTGACATTCTGTCTCAAAAAAATAATAATAAAATAAAATAGGAGTTAGTTCATTCATTTGATACATTTTTCTTAATCACCTATTTTGTGCCAGGCTGTCTAGGGAACTATGAATAGAAAACAGTAAGCAAAACAGACAAGAATCCCTGCCTTCAAGAAGCTCACATTCATGAGGGGCAGGGCATGGTGGGTCACTTCTATAATCCTAGCACTCTGGGAGGCTGAAGGGGGCAGATTGCTTGAGCGCAGGAGTTCAAGACCAGCCTGAGCAAGAGTGAGATCCTGTCTCTAAAAATAGCTGAGTGTTATGGCAGGTACAGTCCCAGCTACTTGGGAGACTGAGGCAAGAGGATCACTTGAACCCAAGAGTTTGAGGTTGCTGTGAGCTATGATGCCATAGCACTCTACCCAGGGCAACAAAGTAAGACTCTTGTCACAAAATTAAAAGAGGCAGACTACACCTTGTCCCTAGGTCCTAGTGAGCATAAGCTCTTCCTACCCTTCTTATTATCACCTTAAGCATAAAAGTTCATAAAAGTTCTTCCTACCCTTCTTATTACCATTTCTTAAGCATAAAAGTTGCAGACTGGAGTTGTCAGCAAATGGGAGATGTTGCTCTTTATATAATCTTTCTACAGGATAATATTGTGTGTATCCTTTTTCCTAAATTCTTTTTTTTTTGAGACAGAGCCTCAAGCTGTTGCCCTAGGTAGAATGACGTACCATCACAGCTCACAGCAACCTCCAACTCCTGGACTTAAGCAATTCTCTTGCCTCAGCTTCCCAAGTAGATAGGACTACAGACACCCTCTACAATGCCTGGCTCTTTTTTGGTTGTAGTTGTTGGGAGGCCCGGGCTGGATTCAAACCTGCTAGCTCTGGTGCCTTAGCTGCTTGAGCTACAGGTACAGAGCCCTTTTTCCTAAATTCTTAATATTTCCTGAAGGAAAGAGACAAAAAATCACCTGAAATAAGAAAACAAAACATAACCTCAAAATCTCCCTTAAAACAACTAATCAGGGCTCGGCGCCTATAGCTCAACCGGCTAAGGCGCCAGCCACGTACACCTAAGGTGGCGGGTTCGAATCCCCAGCCCGGACC